TACTTTATAACAAAGACCGTTCATCAAATGATAATCTGTTTTATCACCACATGAATAATCTGTTATTGTATTAACTGATATAATTAACGAATCGTCATCTGTAGTTGGAGGAATTGTGATCGACTTAAATTCAAGGTGCCTATCAACACAAACTGGCATAGCCGACATTGATGAACATTGATCTGATTCACTAATACATAGTTCATAAGTCAACATATTATTAATGAGAATTGTTTTGCGAAGAATAACAATACAATTTTGGTCAATTGATTTTGAATTTTGAAAACATTTTCCAATAGAACGATCTGGTGTTTTGCTGTTGTTCATGATATCCAATGTACGATCAATCCAATAATAACCTGGATCATTAAGTGCACTTGAAACATCAGAAGATAAAAATTCATCAAAAGAGCTTCTAGTTAGTGTTGGCATGGGTAGTATATCTTGAATTTCTAAAATATCGTTTATTTTTGCAAGCATACCACCAATAGATTTACAATAAGATTGCGCAGTTGAGAAAGAATTTTTCTTTGTTGAAAAATTAGAATATACACATCGTCGTTCATCTTCAGTAACTTGAAAACCTGAAAAAAGTAAGACAATTTTTTTTGTTCTGTTTTATTAACAAGCTTTGATGTTGTCTCTCCTCACCATAAGGACATTTTGTTGGCATGATATACATTGAATATATATTTGAATTGCTTGTATTTCCACATGTATAAAAGTAATTACTTTGGCATTCTTGATTACAATTATAATCTCGAAGTGTAAATATATTATTTTGTTGTTTTATCATCGGGATATTTACACATAAACATGTATTTGAATTTAGAATAGCATAGTGTTGGCTATACTTTGTACATAATTCTAAGCAATGACGTGGCTGAATATCTTTTATACGATTTAAATTGAATCGATATATTGCTGATTGATTGAGAAAATTTAAATGTACACAACTATGATAAAAGAAATCAGGATATAGTTTAGCTTGTTTATTATTTAAGCTATATCTAGACGGATGTTGAAAAGCAGTTATACGTAAAACAACGATGGTATCTCTATTACCACAGCGTTCATGTTGATTACCTAAAATTGTATATAATTATATGAGCATATGTATGCATTCCCTGAATCACGTATATGTGCAAATTCAGATCAGATGAACAATTACTTTTTAGAATTATAAAGTAAAGAAAATAGCACAAAAGTTATAAATTCATAGCTTTTTCTATCAAACATATTCAGGGACGACAATGAATATGTTGATAATACTGTTCATAGTAGAGTCGTTCAGTTTCATAGACTTCGAACTTTAACTAGGTCATAAAATGCTTTTATGACCAAAATCTGATTAACTCGAAGACGGCTATCATATATTGATCGAACAATAAAATATATGTGGGCTTCCAGACAGACATTCTCTGTGTCATAGTATATGCGTTATCGAATTCTTGGCCGCACCGTTGATATGTTAGCGGTTGACACCGTCTCTACTACATTCTTTTAAGACTTTGACAAAAGTCGGGCAAGTTATTTAAATATTAACGTACAAAGTAGAACTTAACAATCAATACACTACAACTTAGAGAAAGCTTTTCTCTATAAGCCTATATACATCGTGTTCTGTGGTCAAATATCATGGAAAACGTACAGCTCCTTTTTCCAGATATATCTAATGTTACTTGGATACCCATTGAAGTTTCCTAATCGAAATTGAATAGTCACTTCAAACATATGAGATAAATTTTCTCGATTTTTATTTGGTATCGTATAATTGTTGCAGCATACAGATTTCTCAAATAGCTGAAGTCAATCACTTGAAAATTTTCTGACATGAACCTGGTTAAGTTGGAGACTAACTCGAAGGATTTTGATCCATAAGATCGATTGATTATTTTCTGAAGATCCGGTTCAACTTCGAAAAGACATTCACGATGAAATAAAAACCAAGATTTTCGAGTGATTAGAAAAAATATTGAAAATAAATCCGATACGAGTGCTTTAGTACAGTTATCAGCAAATCTACACAATATGTTATGATGTTCGAAATCCATAAATTCGCAACTTTCAGTGAATTACAATGGAGAAAATCTATATGATCATGCATCATTGCGGAATATTGTGAATGATGATCGTCCAGAGGCAATATCAACGAAAATAAAGCGAATTTTATCTGTGTTTTTGAAAACAATATTAATCTAGGACAGATGTAAAAGCTAAAACTAGAGAACTGAACTATCACTAATGAAATAATTCGGGTCATTCTTTTTCGATTTAATTATTGATAAGACACGATCTTGAGACTTTTTCTCACTAACATAATATTAAAATATAGCTTCACTGATTTAAGAAAAGAAAAACATCAATATTCATCTGTCAAACATACCCGGACACGGATTTCCACAATCTTTTCTTCGATATTTTGCATGAGTTTCTTTCATATCAAATGTATGTGAATGAGCAGCATCGAAACAATAACATTTATTCATATTTATAACAGCCAAATTTGTTTCTAATATTTGACAAATAGATGAGCACAATTCATATGTTAAGTGATTTGATATCATTACTGGTAAACCAAGTGTTAAGGGTTTACTGTAACAGCTTTGTGTAGAGTTGAAACCAAGCATTGTTTGTTCTCTACATAAAACATGTCTTGGCTTCGAACAATTATTGATTTGAGTAGTTTTTAAAAAATAACTTCCTTTTTCGTTAAGTACTGTGCGTGTCAAAACTAAACATGAATCATCTTGTATGCTTGAGTTGTTATCTTCATTTGAATTAATCATTTGATATTCATTTATCGATGATAGACTGATATTAACATTGGACAATAATGATGAAAAATTTTGAGCATATGACCCAAATGGTTGAAGGTTTAATTTAGTATTTGACGGATCTAAGAAAAGATTATTTCAGTTATCGTTAGAAATTATCTAAAGTGCGCTGCTGCTCATTAGGTTTTATATGATACTCAAAAGCTTTGTCTTTTTTTTATCTATTTGAAGCTTGAATTTTTTTTCGGCGCTTTTATTCTAAAATTAAAAGTCTTCAGAGAACACTAAACGGTACATTCGTCGCATATTAAATGGTCATATAATGGTTAGATGCGAATCTTAACTTATTTTCATATATTGTAAAGGATGTTTTCAAATATTCAATATCTATGGACAATGTGAATATGCATTGTTTTTAATAGACAGATTAGTTTTCTATTCGATTTATAGAATAATCGTTATGATCAGATGAAGGTGTTTGTATATATTTAAAAGAGTGACACATAATTTAATAAATTCGTAGAGGATCAATAAAATACAACAACTCGTTTCAATTCTGAATGCTACTTGAATAAACTGAAGAGATGGCAACCAAACAAAAACCATTGATGGGCTATTCGGTCTAATGTGATTGAACATTCAGCTATTCTCTGCTCATCATTGAAGTGCAGCATACTCATAATTATTCTATGGGTGACATACCAACAGTAGTGTGAACAAATTTGCAACATGGTAATCGAACTAAATCCCTTAAATTCTAATCTTTTAAGATGTTTTGCTCATGTCGAACATAATCTCAGTTGTCTACTATTTGTTGTACTAATCAATCAACAGGATTCCTTCAGCTCTAAGCTATTACTTGAAAAAACTATCAATAAGATTTCTCTTGGAGAATTTACTTGTATCAAGAAGAAAGAAACCAAGACGAGCTTGCCATTGTGACGTATACTGAGCGATTTCACCGTTAAGGCTATTAGTCATAGAATTCTTGAATTCATTTTTTGCTTCCTCCTGCATATCATCATCGTCATCATCATTCGATATAATATCTATTTCGAATTCCTTTTTCTCGGCTTCTGACAAATTAATACAACTATTTCTTGCTTCTTGAACTGTTTTACGATCATTCGATATCCGATAACAATGATTGTTGATATCAAACCAATGTCGTGTACAGATAACCGCCATTATATTGAAATTTGGTGTATAGGTTGGATAAATGATAGTATCATATAATGATGAATCTTCATTCATAGGGTTTGTGATGCATAAATGAATTGAGAATCTAGTATGAATACAAGAGGTAGTGGCGTAACTAGGATTTTTAATATGTATCGGATTTCACCTTCAAAGCATGGGACCCAGATGAAACTTGTGGAGGATGATATTCGACATAAATGATGAGTTTTTATGAGAAAAAATTTTTGAAAGTGAGCTTCATGAAAAATATCTTTTTCCTGAGTCCCAAGATTTTTCTTTTGCTGTTAGTAGTATTCCATTTTTTAGAATTTCAGCAGCTATCGCGACTCATTTTATCGGGATTTATTGGGACTTTTCAATAAGTTCCTAAGCACTTTCAGATAAATCCCATATGATTTCTCACTACATACAAGCTGTGGGTGAGGGTGAGGATAGAGTATGAGTGTGGATGTGAGTGTTGATGTGCTGAAATGTAATC